CTTCTAACTAATAATTACTGATTTAATTACTCTTCAATTTATTTATTTATTTATTTATTTATTTATTTATTTTGTAGTACAAAGGAGATTGTAGGCCTAAATACTAGACTAGGACTCGACAAGAATAAGAAACACCGATTAAATCATGCGCGAGCCTCTCACCCAAATTAGGAGGAGGAGTAACCAACACCTGAAAGTCAATCGTACAAGAGAACAGTTAAGCTCGCCAAATAGTTGGCCCCGAAGTTTGTCTCTCTCTACACGTGTCGAATGCTAATAAGCCACTCCTTGTGAATCAGTTGGCGAATGCGCCCCAAAACTACCATCGGAGTCATGAACCATTTGTAACACACACTGACTATCAACCTCCGCAATAATTTTACGTAGTGCTGTTAAATTAAACGAGCCTGGCTCGGCTCGGCTCGAGCTCGGCTCGAGCTCGAAGCCTTAACGAGCCGAGCTCGAGCTCATTTAAAGCTCGTTTGGTTAACAAGCCGAGCTCGGTTCGGCTCGATAAGGCTCGAAAAGTGAAATTTATATAATTTTTTATAGTTCGGCTCGTTAAAGCTCGAGATCGGCTCGTTAAGGCTCGAGCTCGAGGCCTTAACGAGCCGAGCTCGAGCTCGATTTTTTGCTCGTTTACTTAACGAGCCGAGCTCGGCTCGGCTCGTTAAGAGCTCGAGCTCGAGCTCAAACACCTTAAGCTCGAGCTCGGCTCGGCTCGATTACAGCCCTAATTTTACGGAACCCCTTATATGCCCTGAAAAAGATCCCAAAGTTCGGCCCCGGTGATGGTGCAGTAGCCTTGGATTTAGACAATACCTCCGACATATACGAGGATACTCGCTTTAAGTACACAATGTATAAAGAACTCCAGTTGATCGAAAAATCAATCACTAATGCGAATGAAAATCAATCACTATAATTACTATCCAAAATCACATTAAGCTCATCAAAAATCTGTTCGGCTCGATTAATAAATCTAAAATGTAAACAAGTTCTTCGCGAGTACGATTTGTTATTCATCCACGAACATGGTTGGTACGATTTGTTTGTTCGGAAATTGTGTTAAAGGAAAAAATAAAAAAAAAAAAAAAAAAGAAAAATGAGATGTTCGTGAATGAGCTCGGCCCGACTTGAAGTATATAAACGAGCTCGTTTAGCTATTCGAAGTTGACTCATTGAAGTTAATGATTCGAATCGAGTTGTGCTCGCGAAAAGCTAGATTAAAAAAAATATCAGCCCTAGTCTGGGCAATAAAAGAGAGTTAAAGTTTTTTATATGGACCAATTAAAATTATAGAAAGATAATAGTTAATATACAAAATTAATAGTAAAATAAAAGAAGTGTTGAATTGTTAATTGATAATTGTGGAGAAATTGGCTTGGTGAGTGACGTTTAAAAACAAAAAATGGGTGAAAAATATAAATGAACAGATGAAATTTGTGGAACATTAAAATCATCAAAAAGATTTAGTAACCTTTGAATTTAAAGAAATTGAGTAAATTATGAGTTTAGGTTGCAAAACAATCATTCAACAATTAAATTTCTCATACTATTACACAATTAAACAATCGCTCAACATTTAATCTCTCATACTATTACGCAGTTTATTCTTTTTTATAAGTTATTTTGAAAAATAATATTTATATATTTTGTGGTCATTATGAGGACAAGCAATATCAATTTCAAATTTTTACTTATGATTTTTAATAAATTTACAAAATTAAATAAATACTAGGAAAACCTTTATCTTATTTGATAGGATACTTGTGGTTAAATAAACTCTCAAAT